CCTCCTTCGCCCCTTCCCACCCCCTCTCGCCCCGCACTCCGCCTTCCCGCCCCTGCCCCGCCCCTCCCACCCTGCGGCCCTGTCCCTTCCCGCCCCCTGCTCCGCCCTCTCCCGCGATCTGCTGGGTCTTCCCGCAGTGTCCAGGAGCCTTCCTGTCCCATCCGGAGCCTACGCTCCCGCCAGGAGGCCCGAGCCCTGCTCGCCCAGGGACGCGCGCGCCGTGGGGAGCCCAGAAGGCCCGCCGCGACTTGTGTCCACTGGTAACCGCGCCGCCCCCGCGTCGCCGCGCCCTCCGCTGCCTCTCGGGCCACCTTCTGGCTCTCAGACAGCCCTGCTTCCAGGGCCGCATTGGCCTCTGCGCCGGGGCTGGCCTCTTCCTGGCGCGCGGCAGTCCGGAGGGGGAGGCTTCCGTGCTCTGAGCTTCCTGCGGGGTTTGGCAGCTCTTGATGAGCTCGGAACTGGGAAGATGGCATGGGCAGATGCTGGGAGCGGGCCTCAGGCCTCCTGAGAGTCGCCTCCTGGGCCCAGACCCTGTCTTGGGCCCCACCTCCCCACCTCCCGCCCCAGGGGCCTCTGCCCCCAGCACTGAGCGTCCCGCTGCCCCACCGCTTCCTTTGCAGTCTCTTCCCGAGAGCGAGTCCTCCCCTATCCCGACCCAGCCTTCAGCTCTCTGAGCGACCTTACCAGTTACCCAGGTTATTTTTTTCCTGTCTTCAGTCTGGAATAAGATCCAAGGGAGTCACAGGGAAAATTGTTACAGTAATACACTCCAGCTGCCACTTCGCCCAGCTCCCCAGCTATCAGTCCCAGAACAGTGCTGAATGTTGTTCTTCRGCTAGTGACCCTGGTGGCAGCTGACTCTATCTCTGCACTTCTCCATTACCTTGGACCCTCTGATGTGTGCTTCTCTATAGCGTTTCCCTGTTGTCCTGGGAATGCTGCCCCTGAGGTCCTTGGACATAACCGCCACAGTCCTTGCCCAGGAGGAGCTGGACCTGTCTGATCACCCACAGGTGCAGAGTACAGTCGGCCTCTTTCCTTTGATCCTGGACAGGCTGACTGCCTCCTCTGGCTTGTCTGGTGGCGAGCAGAGCAGACCCTAGTCCCCCAGCGGCTGGGTGCTTTTCCATCCGGGGAAGGGCATCCAAAGAACATAGTCTTCTGCTGCTCCTGTAGCCCTCCCTCCTTCCAATCCTCCCCCATCCTCTAGCATTCTCTCTACTCTGGTCCTATGGAGTGAGCTGGTGAAGCCTTCCTGTTACTCCAGGGACTGGGGCAGCTTGTTGGCCCTGACCCTTGCCACAGAATTACAGAAACTCTTGTCTTATTGAAGGCACTTCTGCCTTTGCCTCCTGACCCTGTTCCTGTCTTCCAAGGCACTTTGCCTGCTTTGCTGAGCCATCTTAGGTGGCTTTGGAGTTGCTCAATTTCATGTCTTTGACCTGGACTTCTGTGTAGGGCAACCCTATGTCCCTGGTTGCCTGAGAGGGTCTTCACTTATACCGATTGTGCCAGCACAAAAACCTCTGTCCCTTTCACTTTCAAAACATCTGTGGGTTCAATGATGGAGCCCGTAAACCACATGACTCACTTGCCAGCAGAGGAGTGGGGCACGGCCCATGCAGAGCAGGTGTCAGAAACACAGTGTTCTAGGCCTGTCCTTCTCTGTCAGTGTTAGCCACACCCTCCTAGAGACAAGAAACTTTGCACCAGGGGGCAGAGTCCCTTCCAGCCCTGTCAGCACAGAACAATCTAAGTGGTACCAAGAACTACTCAGTCAAATTCATCTAGAACCCCTAAATTCACTGCTGTGGTCTTCCCACACCACAAGCCCCTGCCAGCTAGCCAGGGCCCATGAGCATGTCAGTACTACAACCGGTCTTCTAGGACCAGGCCAAGAGGTCAGCACCAGTCTTCAACTAGGTGACCAGCTGTGCCAGTCTGTGGGGAGCCACTCTGAGTGACCACACCTTCCAGTCCTGAAACAGGAGGCTCTGACCAATCACCACATTTTGTGGTGACTTGGACATTATCCCACTTGGCTAGCAAGGCCAGTCTTCTGAGTAGGTCTACCCCTTGGGCTGAACTACACTCACCTATTCTTTTGTAATCCTACCCCTTTGCCCTGTTGGGGATAGAAGATTCCATGAAAACTCCCTTTGTGTGTCCCCTCTCTTGCTCTACCTTTGGTGTGGCCTTCCTAGGTGTTAGTCAACCTGCTGACAGCAGACATCACAAAGCTAGACTCCACCCCCTGAAACCTGAACCCTTGCCTCATTTGAATGGACCCCCTAAGGTCAGAGGAGCCATCACAGGACCCAAAGGAAAAGGTCTCTCGGTTTCTATTGATTATTTTGTGCAGCCCAGTTCCCCTGGAGTGACCCTGAGTGTTTGAGTCATGAGAAATGTGACACCAGTCTGCATGGGATTGAGGGTTTTCTGGAAAGTGAGACTTCCAGGTTTAAAACCAGGTGGGTCCCAGGCCAAGTATGATGAGCAGCTGCCTGTTGTCCATCCTGGCTGCAGGGGGGCTCCCTCCAGGAGCCGCATGATTAAAGAGCCTAATGTATTGATCCCGTGGGCTCCAGGCACGTGAATTTTTTTTTAAAGCTCCTTAATTGATCCTGGAGAAGGACCAGGGTTGAGATCCACTAGGTCAAATGCAGCATCTCTAAATAGCTTTGGAAGGTGGAGGTTTCTGAGCAGAAGTAGACCTACTTGTTCTTCCCGAGGGGGCTATAAAAAGGCAGTTGCCTCTATTGCTGTCCCTGGCCCCACTCCAAGGCTGGCCTTTCCACGGTGACTGGGCTTACTTCTTTTCCAGCTTGCTTCCCTATCTCCTCACCAAGGTAGCAGTCTGTGAAATGCATCCCTTTGGAGGGGTCATGACTTGGCCTGTGCCAGGTGAAGCTGGCGGGGGACTCAGGAAGGCTCCTGTCTCCAGCCTGGGCTGCAGCCTGGCCCGTGGTGGTTCATGGGCCAGCTGGAGGGGCTGGGTGCTGCGCCTTGCCTGTGGGTTGCTGGGGGCTGGAGGGCCAGGTGCCACCGTGGTGTCCCCTTTGCAGCCCCCAGGATCATGTGGTACATCAGCACCCGGGGGCTGGCCCCACGGGTTGACTTTGAAGGAGCCCTCTTCTCTGGCTATGCACCTGATGGTGGCCTCTACGTGCCCGAGGAGCTCCCACAGCTGGACGGAGAGACCCTGCGGCAGTGGCGCTCACTCTCCTATCCTAGCCTGGTGAAGGAGCTGTGCTCGCTCTTCATTGGTCCTGAGCTCATTCCAAGGGACGACTTGAATGGTGAGCACCCCACCCTAGCTCTGCCCACCAAGAGCTGGGAATCCACCACCCACCTGCCAGAAAGCCTCTGGGCACATTTCCCAGACTTCAAAGTGCTCGAGAGCCTGGGGAGCTGGAGAAGAGGTGACATGCTCCCCCACGGTGTGCCCACCTTTGTAGGTCTGATCGACCGCGCCTTCAGCAGATTCCGCCACAAGGACGTGGTCCACCTGTGCAGGCTGGTGCAGGGGCTGAATGTCCTGGAACTCTGGCACGGGGTCACGCGTGCCTTCAAGGACCTGTCCCTGAGCTGCACAGCGCAGTTCCTGCAGTACTTCCTGGAGAAGAGGGAGAAGCACATCACCGTGGTCGTAGGTGCATGTCCTAGGTGTGAGGGGTGTAGCCTGAGTGTCCCCAATGTGCACTGTCCATCTGCAGGGTGCCCTCCACTGGCTCCTCTGGAGCAAGGTCCTTAACCSTTTTCTGTGCCTCGGACCCCTTACGGTCTGGTAGAGGCTGAGGATGCTTCTCAGGAAAGTATCTTTAAATACACAGAACACTTCAGGTGTGTGGTTTCACGCTCTCCGAGGTCCTGAGCTTCCTCCACAGTCTACAGACTGGGGCTAARTGCGGAATTCCTGTCCAGCAAGGGTTGGAGAGTGGTAGTTGCTGCATTTGGCAGCCATGCTCCGAGGGCCACTTCTTCCCATTCCCCTGTTTTAAAGGGAGGGGCCGCCCTTCTTGTCATCCAGGCACATCTGGGGACACTGGGAGTGCTGCCATTGAGAGTGTTCTAGAGGCTAAGAATGTGGACATCATCGTTCTGCTGCCCAAAGGCCACTGCTCGAGGATTCAGGAGCTCCAGATGACAACGGTGCTGAGGGAGAATGTCCACGTGTTTGAAGGTGGGTACTGTGCAGAGGCTGGGGTAGTGTCCTTCCTTCTCTTCTTTCTCTCCCCTTTTCTGCTCTTAGTGGTCATATTTTGAGGTTGGAGCTCTGCCTTGGTTTATCTCTGGGGAGGCTCCTGGCTGCCCACTCTCCTAAATTGACAGAGTGACCACACCAGGAACCCCTAGGAACAGCACTGTGTAGGAAGCGCAGGCTCAAAACCACCCTCCCCCAGAAAACACCACCGCTGTGCTGACTCAGCCCACTGCGTCATGTGTAGAAGGCCATGCAGCAACTGGGCTCCTGTCCTCGGGCCCTGAAGTTCAGAGGGCAGCAATGTGTTGGATAGCTAAGGGTACGGGTCACTGCGTGTTGGCAGTTCATGCCCTCCTGCCAGCAGAGGCAACGCAGCTGACCTGGCTTAGCAGGTCCCAGTACTCAGGACAGATGGCTACCCATCACTAGTTACCTACAGCTAGCCACACAAGGAGGCCACCTCCTGAGGGTATAGCACTGTCGCAGCTGGAGAGAGGAGAGAACCGTGTGTTTTCAAGTTAGACTGTCGGTTCTGAACATGTCTGATGACTGCAGAGCCTGAGAGTGGAGAGGATGGGAGACTGGGTGGGGCCGTACCTGGTCTTTCTCCCTCACACCCAGCTCATACTGGGGCACCCCCAGGTGGGAGCAGGGAGATGAGCAGCAGGGGTTGTGGTTGGGGTTTTGTATACCAAGACTTTGGGCACGTTGCTCTTTCACCTGAGGCGTCAGCAGCAGCACTGGAGTAACAGAGCATTCCTTCTATAGCTGTGGGTTCTCAGTATGGCCCTCGAGGCTGCTGGCTCCTGGTGTGGCCCTCAAGGCTGTTCTCATGTAACACCAACTTTGTGGAGCAGACTCCCCTGGGGAGGAACCTGCATGTCCTTCCCCTGTCCATTCCAGAGCAAACAAAAAGCCCCTGCTCTTCTACTGAGCAAGTGCAGGCATGCCTCAGTGTGCAGTCCCCAGGTTAGCTGACRCGGTGTTGGCAGACCTTCCACCTCAGCTCTGGTAGTTGAGGGAGAACGTCCACGTGTTTGAAGGTGGGTGCTGTGCAGAGTCTGGGGCACAGCACCCATGTTTGGCTACATTTTACTGTAGTCACCACAGGACTTTAATACCCGGGATTCAGGCAGCAGAGGTCCTGGTCACCTCCAGCCTTGCGAGCTGTGGGTTTAGGATGCCTTCCCTGGCGGCCTCTGTGCCCCTGTCCCGCCACCTACTTCTTTCTTTTCTGTACACAGGCATCTGAGAGCTTTCAGCTCAGGGCCGAATGGGAGCGTGTCCTCCACCTGTGGCTGTAGGTGGGGCCGTGGGAAGTAGTGGTAGCCATGTGTGGACAGTAGTGCAGCATGTTGTATACCTCAGTTGGGGGTGGATTTGTATGTATATGTGCTGAGCTTCTGGAAACAAGGCAGCAGACTTTGGAGAAAGTTTTGTTTACGGCAGCATGTTGGCCTCCTCCCTCCCTCCCTTCCTGGAACCTGCTGGCTGGAAGGGGGGGGGTGCTGCGTCCTTTCAAAAATGGTGGCAAATGTGTGTTTTCCTGTCGTCCATTGGTCTCAGAGGAGGGAGAATGGACAACAGGACTGTTGAGTGTGGACACTGATTCAGCTCGCAGGCTTGTTGATTTCCATGTAAGTGTGCAATTTTTAAGCACAGAATAATCAGCAAGCACTAGATATTTACTGGTTATATTATTTGGGGTGCTTTTGGCTGAAAGTGACAGAAAATCCAGCTCAGATCAGCTGAAACAAGAATAATTTCCTCCTCCTGTGACTGGGCATCCAGAGGTAGACTGGACTTGGTCTTGGGCCCTTCAGGAATCCAAGCTCTTCCTCTTCTGCTCTGCCTTCCCCAGTCCTGAGCTCTCCTGGTCCTGTGTGGTGACTTGTGGTGGCCAGGTCTCCTCCTCACAAGTGGCAAATTCTTCCCACAACTGCAGCAGACATCCCTCATCTCTCATTGCCCACCTCTGAACTGGACCCTGACTCCACGGAAGGCCAGGCTCCAACAGCTTGGTCCTGGCCAAGGACTGGGACCACCGTGTTTAGCGAGGCTGACTGGGGCTCATGCCCAATCCCAAGCCTCAGTACTGCTGCCAGTGGCTAGGGGAGAACGGCTCACGACCCTGAAGCCCGTGCTTCTGTTTCCCCAGTAAAATCCACCCCTCTCCTCCCAGCGTGGGTCCAGTGCAGAAATGGACCCTGGCATCAGCTGAGAATTGGTACTGGTGCACTGCTAGTCCAGCTGGATGTGTGGGGGGGTGTGCGTCCATCTAATGGGCAGCTAACTGCTAAGTCTGCTCAGTAATGTGCCCATGAAGGCCGATGACCCACCCTGCTACAGGGAAGGGGGGTCGGCCACACGAGCTCACCTGACGTTAGGCGCGGGGAGCAGGGCACCTACATGTGAGCTGAGTGACAGCAGGTCATGGGTGCGTGGCCAGCCCAGCCCCAGAGAGCTGTGGGGCAGAGGGCCAGCCCCTCACTGTCCCCCAGGGAGCAATCCTCCTGCGGGGGACAAGAGTGGGGAGTGGGCCTGGAGTGCAGGGAGGGTCCTCCCCCATCCTGAGGTTGGCCCTGAGTCTTATCTCCTGTGGCAGTGGGAATGCTGGAAGGGGTTCTGGTGTCGCGTTCTGGTCTCTTGAGTGAGTGGATTTCAGSAACAGAACAGGAGATGCTGTTTCTCTCCTGGGTCTTCACGTCAAGGCTAAGCCCCATGAAGGTCAAGAACCGAGCTGAGCAAGGTGACCTAAGGAGGTCTGGGGCTTCCTCAGCTCCTGAGTGCCTGCCTGTCCTGCAGTGGAAGGGAACAGTGACCAGCTGGACATGCCCATCAAGGCCGTGTTTGCCGACCTGCCTTTTGTGGAGAAGCACAACCTGATGAGCCTGAATTCTGTCAACTGGTCGCGGGTCCTTGTGCAGATGGCCCACTACTTCTTCGCCTACTTCCGCTGTGCGCCCTCCTTGGATGGGTGTCCCCTGCCCACCGTGGAGGTGGTGGTGCCAACAGGGGCTGCTGGGAACCTTGCAGGTAAGGAGGCTTCTTGTGCAGATGGGCTTTCAGAGGAGCCTCCATGGCCCTGCCTTCAGGAGTTGTGGCTGGGAAGGCGCTGGAGGGAGGAGTTCTCCTCTCAGCCCACGTGCCCCTCCCCTGCGCTGCCTTCCTGGGGACAGTGTGGGCTTGCTGTGGAGGGAGAGTGAGGGCCCATTCCTGGGCTCCAGAGCCTGACCCAGTGTACTCAGCAGGGTGTGGAGATGCGAGGCCAAGGGTCAGCTGCCCAGCATGTGGCAGTACCCTCCCCCAGAAGTAGTGGCCTTGCTCCAGCAGGGCCAGCTTCTGCTGAGGCAGCAAACAGCTCCGTGGCACAGCATGTCCCTGCTGCTGGGCACACAGCCCAGGTGCCATGGGAGGATCTCCCTGCTGCTGGGTATATAGCCCAGGTGCCCAGGAAGATGCCCCCACTGCTGGGCACACAGACCAGGTGCCCAGGAAGATGCCCCACTGCTGGGCACACAGACCAGGTGCCCAGGAGGATGTCCCCACTGCTAGGCATAGAGCCTAGGTACCCAGGAGGATGTCCTCGCTGCTGGGCACACAGTCCAGGTGCACAGAGGCAGCCTGTGGACCTAGGATGGCTCCGTTCTGCCCAGACCAGTGGCATGGGCGTGGGGTGATCCCTGGGTTCAGGGGTTGGAACGCCTATCGTCTCTGAGGACTCCTGTGAGTGGCAGGTGAGATCYGTGTGCCCTGGAACCTTATAAGGGGAAGTGCTGCCCAACCGGGTGGCGTCTCAGTCCACTGTGCGCATGGGGTGTTGCTCAGGATGCTCACAGCCCTTTTATAAAACGGTGTAGTGTTTACACATAGCCTGAGCACACCCTCCTGAAGACGTAGGTCTCCTCTAGATGACGACTGATGACATCTAATACAGTATATGCAATGCCGTGTAGCTGAGCACAGAGGCGCACACCTGTAGGCAGGAGGATTCCAAGTTCAAAGCCAGCCTCAGCAATTTAGTGAGGCTGTAAGCAACTCAGTGAGACCCTACCCTTAAATTAAAAAATAAGTAAATAAAATGTGCTGGGGCTGTGGCTCAGTGGTTAAATGTCCCTGGGTTCAATCCCTGGTACAAAAAAAAAAACCCAAAAAACTAAAAAACTGTGTAAATAGTTGTACAGTTTAGGGAATAATCATAAGAAAAAGTCTCCACATCTTTGGTGCAGTTGCAGTTTTTTTTTGGGGGGGGGGGTACTGGGGATTGAACTCAGGGGCACTCAACCACTGAGCCACATCCCCAGCCCGATTTTGTATTTTATTTAGAGACAGGGTCTCACTGAGTTGTTTAGTGCTTCACCATTGCTGATGCTGGCTTTGAACTCATGATCCTCTGGCCTCAGCCTCCCCAGCTGCTGGGATTATAGGCATGTGCCACTGTGCCTGGCTCAGATGCAGTTTTTAAAAAATATTTTTGACGGTGTTTGAGTCTGCAGATGTGGAGTCCTCAGATGCAGGTGCTGACCAGAGTACTGCTGTTTCTGTAACTGTGTGTGGCCTTGCTTCTGAGGCCCCCGTGGTTTAGGTGGGACCTAGAAGCCTCTCTGTGGCCAGGAAGCGTGGCKTCCTCCACCAAAAGCAGAGAGTATGGTGGGTGGTGACAAGGAGGGTCAGCAGCCTCACCCCCCCTGCCAGAGCCTCCTGCCCTCTCACGGCCCTCCAGGCAGGGATGCACAGACGGGAAGGCCGTGACCAGTGCCACCCTCCTGTGAGTTCTGTGCTGGGTGCCGTGGTCTCCCTGGGGGCAGAGCACACAGGCATGAGAGCTGAGGGTGCTCTTGGGTGCCTGCTCTGCCAGCCACCGTGGGGCCCCTGTGCTTTTCCTCCTCCTTGTTCAGGGCATCCTGACATTCACCGGGATCAAGTGAAACAGGACTGAGAGTGCTCTGCGGGGTTGGGCRCAGTGCTGGGTGCTGGGTTGTCAGGTCCCCGATGTAGCACACCCTCCCCAATCTGCCCCACATCTGGGCAGGGGATGCTTTGGTTGCTCTGTGCAAATAGGAACTGCTATGGTTAGACAGAGGTTGACAGCTGCCACACTGTGTGGCCACCCTCTCCCCCACAGGCTTATCCCAGAAGTGCCACCCAAAGCCACTGATCCTAGGACACGGACACGTACACGCCCTGGACTTAGACAGCACATTTTGTACCTAGACTGTGCCACTGAGCAGGCCCCAGACAGGTCATTTTGACCTGTTTCTTGGGACTTTCCTTTTCTCTCCTGAGAATGAGTGGCCTCTGTGTCTGGTAGGTGGCCAGTGTGTGGGTCAGCCTCACAGAGAACAGGGAGTGGCAATGTCCTCTCCTGCTGTATCTTTGTTGTTGTATGATTGGTGTCATGTGCATGCATCTGAAGTGTGCATGTTAGTACACACAGAGCTGCATGACCAGCACACCCTAGAAAGAAACCCTGTCCCCGTTAGCGGTCACCCACTTTCCTCTCGAGCCACTTCTCCCACCGCCCTAGGTGGCCGCAGTCCCTTTGTTGATTCTCTGTTCTAGACATTTTATAGAGTGGCATCAGGCAGCAGTGTCATTTCTGCTTCTGTCACTTGGCAGGACGGTTTCCAGGCTGCAGGGGGCACTGTGCGGCCATGTTTTGTTTATCCGCTTTCCAGCTGATGGGCTTTTGGGTTATTTTAACTTTTTGGATATCATTAATACCGCTCCTGGGAACGTTTGTGTGGGGTATCTGTGTCGACCTCTGTTTTCATTTCTCTTGCATGTGTGACTGGGTGCAGTGGCTGGGTCCTGTGGACCTTCTGAGAGACTTCTAGACTGTTTTCCAAACAACATCCTATGTACCCAGCAGCAGTGTGGGAATGTTCCAGTTTCCCACATCCTCCAGCGCTTTCTACCATCTGCCCTTTTGATTCTAGTCATCCTAGTGGGTTTGCAGTGGGTCTCGCTGTGGTTTGAGTTGGTATTTACCTATTTCCACGAGGATGTTGGAGTCTTTTCACGTGCGCTGGTCATTAGTGTATCTTCTCTGGAAAGTCTCTATTCAGATCATTCGCCTGTTCTTGAATTGAGTTGTTTGTACTTTTGGTTTAGTTGTGAGAATTTCTTATATTTTCTGGATATAAGTCCCTAATCAGATATGTGATTTGCAAATATTTTCCCTGTTCCATGAGTTTTCACATTGACAGTGTCCTTTGAACCACAAAATATTTAAGAAGCGTTAAGAATTTCTCAATTTGGGTGAAGCCCAAGTTTTTAAAAAGTTTGTTTTTGTTTCTAAAAACTTGCTCTCTGTCTCACTTCAAGCTGGGTGCACTGCTCAGAAGATGGGCCTGCCCATCCGCCTGGTGGCCGTAGTGAACCACAATGACATCATCCACAGGGCCATCCGGCAGGGGGACTTTTCTCTGTCTGAGGCCGTCAGACCATCCTTGGCAAATGCAATGGACATTCAGGTGGGTGTGAGGCGGGGAGAGCAGGTCCTGCCCAGGCATTGGCTGATGGGGCTGCTGGAGTGGATGGCTGGCCTGGCCTGGGACCCTGACCTCTGTCTGCCCAGGTGCCCTACAACATGGAGAGGATCTTCTGGCTGCTCTCCGGCTCCAACAGCCAGGTGACAAGAGCCCTCATGGAGCAGTTTGAGAGGACCCAAAGTGTGCAGCTACCTAAGGAACTGCACGGCAAGGTCAGTCCCCACGCCACGGAGAGGAGAGGGCACAGCCATGCCACTGACATGGGGTTAGGAAATTGGGTTTGGGAAATTGGGGTCTTTCAGTCAGCTTTTTCACACTGTGACCAGAAGACCTGACGAGAACGATTTTAGGGGAGGGAAAGTTCCCTTGGGAGCTCATGGTTTCAGAAGTCTCAGTCCACAGGCAGCTGGCTGCACTCCTGGGGCTCAGGTGGGGCCGAACATCATGGTGGAAGAGTGTGGCGGAGGGAAGCGGCTCACCCGGTGGTCAGGAGGCAGAGACTCCACTGTCCAGATACAAAGGTGTACCAAAGCCACRCCCAGTGCTCCCTCCTCCAGCCACACCCTCCACTCAGTCACCACWGAGTTCATCCCACTGGGGTTAACTCGCTGGGTCACAACTGTCACCACCAGTGAACCTCCTTGCACTGTCTCACACCTGAGCTTTTGGGGAACACCTCACATCCAAACTGTCATATGGGGCAAGGGAAGGGGACGCTGATTTTTCAATGGCCTGCTGAGAGTTGTGGGTTGACTTACTGATCAGATGGGCAGTAGAAGACTGGGCTGGAGCCAAGCAGGGTCCACCTCAAGCCAGCCCGGAGACACTGGCCAGTTTTCAAGACTCTGCCTCAATGACTCAAGACCCCGGCCTCGCATGCCCCATGGGATGCAGGTCAGCTGGTGCCGCGAGGCACTTGGTTGCTGCCTGACAGTGTGGAGTGGACACAGCAAGGGTCATATTTTTATTTTCCAAGGCTGTAAATTCCCAAGGATAGGCACTGCTCCCTGTCTCTTTCCCTCTTAGAGAAGAAGAAACTTCCTTCACTGTAGGAATCCACTTGGAAAGGATCGCTTTTATTTTAATGCAGCTTGGTGATGGTTCCTTGTCTTGTGTATAAGTACAGAATTTCTGAAGTTGGCTTGAGTTTTCCCTGAGGGTCCCTCAGGGCTGTGCCTGCCTCCAGGGACCAGGCCTCGGCCTCATGGGCAGACAGAGCTACAGTCTGCCCTTTGGCTTGGTGTCCACTTCTCAGCACTTTCCCCATATCCGAAGAGTCCTCACTAACCACTTAGGTCTTTCTGTTTTTTTCTGGTGCCCCTCACCTCCGGAATCATCCTCTGTCCCTCACCTCTGGAGCCCCTCAGCTCCCTCAGGGGTCTCTCACAGAACCTTGTTCTGCAAGGTCAGCATCCATTTTAAGGGTTGCTCTCAGAACTGGAGATGTTCTGAAGTCTGGGCAGTGCGACACAGACCCCAGGGGCTCTTGTGTCTTTGGCTGCTTTAGATGAGCATTTGGTTCAGGAGTTGACATCCACCTCCCCTCCCCTCACGGAAACCAGATGCCCATGAAGACAGAGGCTGTGTCCCCTTTTTGCATTTTCTCCCTGAATGTGTGGGCAGGAGACACTCCATTTGCTGGAATTGTGGCCACCACTCACCTAGTAGAGTGGTGACTCTACTGGGAGCCAAGGACTGCACCCAGGGCTTGGCCCCCAGAGAAAAATACACCTGTTGGCCTGGGGGCAGGGGTGCCTCAGGCCTGGGTCCATTAAGCCCTGCCCAGGGGGGGAGGGAGAGGGAGAGAGGGAGGGAGAGAGGGAGGGAGAG